TTCAGATCCCTGACTAAACAAGCAATGTGTAATTAGTAGAGACAAAAGTGACAGGGTAGTAATTATTTCCACCACGTAATCATGCTGCAAAAGCAGTTCAGGTCTAGCTGTCTCGCACTGGCTTCATACAGTTTTTCTTCCCACAGCTCCAGGTTTACATCCCGTCCCGGGTGGTGTATTTCCTGTCCCACCAGCAGCTGTAGTTCTTATGAAGCTCCTGCCACCTCCTGTTTGTTTTCAGGTTTGTTTTAACCAATTCCAAAAAATTCAAAAAGTTGTAGAAGCAGTTCTGTTTTGACAGAACCACAGTATGTATCACTCTCTTGAAAATTATCTTCTGAACTTTTTTTTTTTTTTAACAAATCAGGGTCCCTTTGTTCAAGTGGATGAGCTCATGGAGATATTTAGAAGATGCAAACTGCCAGACAGTAAGTTACTTGTTGGCTCTGGAGTCTGTGATAGTGCCGCATATAATTTTGTTTTACGTATGGATGTTGCTGGCTACAATCCACACCTCATTTACAGATGTGTAATTATTATTTAAGAGTACACAATTTGTAGGCTGGAATATAGATAGAGCTCTTTGTCCATTTCACTGTGGGGAAGTTAACAAAAGTCAAAACCCTGAAAATCACCAGCTGCCACTTTAACATTTTAGTAGTAACTATTAAAAGTAAATAATGAAGACTTTCACAATATCCTTTAAAATAAGCAGAGCATTATTTCTATCAGCACTGTAATTGTAGCCTCAAATTACAAGTTTGCAGGAGGGTCATATGAATGATACATGATGTCTTTGAAGCTGTCTCTGTTGATGAGCAGAAACGGCCGTGCTATGCGCACTGCCTGATGAATCAGACCCATCATACTGTTTCCCCAAGAGGCTTTCCTGGTTTATTAAGCCTGCAAGTGACCTCAATACTTGTGTAAGGGGAAGTCTCAAGCTGAAGCAGCAGCATTTACTTTACAGATAGTGCTTACTGCAGTCGGAGTTTCAGGCAGGCAAGACATAATTCCTAACGTTTGCACAAGAACAGGGTAGGAAAATATCTCATGTTCCAGAAATCTCCACAATGCACCTCTCTCGGTGTCCCTGTTTGCATGCTTATTTCTAATCGGGGAATTTAGATTCACAAATTAAATTAATCTTTCTAAAGCTGTCGATGAAGCCGTACGAATCATTACCGGAGGCCTACCTGAAATAGCTGTGGAAGGCAACGGACCTGTAGAAAATAACGCTATACTCAATAAGGCTGTCAAAAGGCCACATGAAGATTCCGACGACGACGAGGAGAAAGGATCTGTAGTTCCCCCTGTACACGACATTTACAGAGCACGACAGCAAAAGAGAATCCGGTGAAACAAGTCTGGAGTTCTACTGTGATAGACAAAGACTTGCATTGAGTCTCTTAAAAAACAAGCATTTAAAAGGGACAGCTGCAAACAAACAAAAAAAAATCTTGGAATTGGTTTTGTTACTGTGGTGCCTCTTCTCCCATATGGTTCTTGATCTGAAGAAAACAGCCAGAACAACCTTAGAATGTGCTCTGAACAAAACTAGGTTTTCAAAACCAAAAGTGCAAAATGGCAAAACTGCATTTTGTTCTTCAAGGGTGTTCGCATCTACCACTTGAAATCTTGTGGGTTTTCAACAGTTTTATTTTAAAATAAAAACAGTTTTATTTTAAAAACTGGATGGCTTATACTTGTGAAGCATTTTTAATTCACATTTTCTGGAAAACAGTTGTTCTCAGTTTGTTCATGTAGTGTCCTGCCTTATTGTTCGTTTTTATTTATGGCAGAATGTATGGAATCTGTTTTGTAGTTGAAAATGGAAAAAAAACATTCCTTTAAAATAAAAGGATATCCATAACATCATGCCTCATTTTGGTTTTATTCAAACACAAGTTACTTCTTAAATATTACTCAGCCACTTCAAAAGCAATGTTAATAAGACCATCACAGGAAATTGATCAGAGTGTACATATCAGAATTAGCTTTTTCCCATTTTTCTAGAGGTTACAAGACTGTTTAAAGAAGACAGCATCATAAGACAAACTCGGTACGTATTTCTAATGTAGATTGCCCAGGAGTACTGGCTAACACAGCCTCTTCCTGGATAACTGCATCAGTCTTCCACTGAACGTACAAAGCTAAACGGTAAGATATTAGCTACACAGTTTAACCTGCTATTTTCAAACAAGCTAACACAAACACTACATGAACTTTCAAAGCAGTTTCTACGCATACTTTAGATTTCCACCTGTAATCGACTCTTCAGCATTGTGCTCCGAGAAGCCCGTGGGAACTCCCGTGGACTCCAGGAACTGCAGATCCTGGCAGAGCTGGCTGCAGGCACTGCCTCTGCCTACCAGACCGCACGCTCAAACAGCCCAAGGACAGACCTCTGGGAACGGTCACGTCTGGCCTTAGCAATCCTACGATGTTTTTGCTTTGCTGCTTAGTGGTATCTCCCTACTTCTCAAAGAGGATGTAGAGAAACTATTGTCAATGACTAGCATTACAAAACACAACCTGGGAAAGTCACCTGTAATTTGCACATGTGGGCATTAGACCCTTCCTGTTGACGAAAGGCCGAGACCACCCACTGTGTGTCCCCGCGTGTGGGGGCTGCTCTTGGCTCTGCAGGCAGCCTTAGGATCCAGCCCCGACTGAGAGACGGGACGTGCTGTATTGACCCTGCGAGCAGCACACGTGCACCAGCACCACCTCGCTTTGACGTCAGAGGCAGCAGGACCCTGAAGCCCAGAACGGGGAGCAGCCATCTCCTAGATTAAGTGAGAACAATTTTATCTCTTGATAATGCAGTCCCAGCCCTTCCAGCATCAGTCACATACTTTTCAAAGCCTTTTCTAAGTATGTTGTTTCACCATCATGATGTTCCTCCCTGCATCCTGGAGGTCATCCCCTGCAGCACCTAAATTGTTGTAGTATGCACGATTCACAGGGTTCTTTGAAGGCAGCTGCTGGGCAATACTAAAATATTATGGCAGCAATTTATAACTTCTGCAACTCTTATTTAACAAAAATGAAAACAGCTTTGTCTAGGTTATTGTTTGGGTTTTTTTTACCTCTAGCAATAATGTTTCTGGTAGCTCTTTTGTAATGCAGACTACTGAAGTAATTTGCAGCTGCAGAGCTATAGGCTGCATTTTGAGGTGGATCCTGCACTAGTAACCAAGTAGAGTAAGCAGATGCAGCAATCTTCAAGACCTCTGTAGTATCCTTTGCTGATTCAAACCACACCAAGAAACTACTCAGATTCTGGCTAATCAAGCTACTCACTTTTGAGTTATTAATGAAAGATGTCCATTTTACTATCTGAGTACATTTAGCCAAGAGAAAAATCACTTATCTGAGCTGATGATCTCTTGCACGGTTTTTTTTTGGGGGGGGGCAGATTTCCGTTGGGAAAAGGGTTTGTAATGAAAAGATCTGGTTTATAGTTGCACAGGCTAATAAGGAATAATGTCTTACTTATCCCACCTTCCTCCTAACGTAGATTTCTTGCAGTTACATCCATGGTGATATTTAAAAGAAAACTGGAAGGCAAAGCGTCAACGCTGATTCACAATCCTATGCTTCCTTCTAGAAGTTCTCTTTTTTTGGTTGACTAGTTGATTAACAAAATGAACCTGGATGTTAGCAATAAAAGGGCCCTTTATTTTACATAACTTGGGTGTTTTTTAAAGAAGACAACACATTCTAGTCTAGTGCTTGGGACACACTGTTTATAACTATGAACTTTGCTTTCATAAAATCATCAAATTTTGATTACTGTAATACAGCACTGTGCTCAGCTAGAGGAAAATCTCATTCGTACTTACCTGCCAGCTGAGTCTGAAATCGCAGTAAGGCTGTAAGATCACTGAGCTCTTCTGTGAACACTCATCTATACAACATGTAGCTAATTAAATTTAACACCTACAAAATATCTTAAGTTTCAAGAAAACCTCTACAAAGTGAAAAAAATCTTCTACTGAAAATATTCCCTGTATATTCAAAGTAATGTCAAATCACTCACTTATATCACACTTCTGATAATGCTCTGCACTTCCTGGATATTTTTGAAGATGTGATTGAAAATGCAATCAGCTCCAGTTGTAGTTTTAAAAAACAAGTAAAATTTTCAGCCTAACGTGACATACACTTTAATTCCACCTTCTGAAAATGACAAAGATTTACTTTAAAGTTAGTATTTCACATAAAAAGGAGTAAACTACCAGCAAAAAAAAGGTAAGAAATGCCACTTTTATCAAAACATTTTAGCTCTGCCCTTCTGAAGTCTTTACAAGAGATAAATACAGCTGCAATCTATAAGATTGCCACCTTTGTAAGTACTGTACATAGCAGAGGACAGTTACCCAATAACCAGAAAATTTGCTACAAAAATATATTATGTGTTTTGTAACATCTGCAGGTAAACAGCAAAAAAATGCTATTAAAATGCAGAAAAAAACTAGTAGCCTACCATACTAACCATAACATTACAATAAAGTGCTGTTTGGCTTTGCGGTTTTGCCTGTTAAAGTTTCTGTTACCTAGAATTTTAGCTTTCTTCTTTAAGTCTTTAAATAAAGCCAAATCACCCTTTCTGGGAAGGACCATTGCTCATCTGCTCTGGAGTAATTAAACTAAACTCACGGTAAATTAGAGTAAAATGCCCTAAAAAGAGCCACTTAAATACAAAGTTTGGTTCTTAAACTTCTCCCACCTAACATCAGCTCAAAAATCTAAAAATTGGAGCCAGAAAACTACCCAGACATCCCCCCCCAGGTTGCATACTTACATTAAAAATGCATCTCTCTGTCATCATTTACTTCAGAACCCCTTCTGCATCTCATGTATTTTCCTCATCACTCATCACCAGTGAATTAAAAGGAACCAATATTTACATGGAAAGCTGTTTTCCTAGACAAACATTGGTGCATTTTTTTAAAATAACCGACAGTACCGTATCGGTAGCATACAAATGGGTTTTACGATTCTTCTGACTTCCCTACAAGCCGCGATTCCTCCTTGGTCAGTATTTTGCCGAGGACTGCGTCATAGTAAGGGCTGAAGACCATTTTGTTGTAGTTGACAAGACGAACGTACTTGACAGCAATCTCTTCCAGCTCCCTTTGAATAGGGCCTAATCCTCCAGGAACAGCAGGTAATGATTTCTGGTGACTAGATGCAAGATAATTCTCCAGCAACTTTTGAATTCGAGAATCTGGAAAAATTGGACCAAGGAGTTTTGGTTTGTTTGCAAAAGAGACAGCCAGTTAGAAATGGTGAAATCTCAGGTAAAACACGGAAAGCCTCAACGCAGTGATCAAGTATTTGAAACACATTAAATGAGAAACCATGCGTGACATGCCACCAATAGTTCTACAAAGACAGACGAGTGGTCGCCTGAGAACAGAGCACTTCTGTCAGAGCATACCTAGGAGCTTGCATATGCTGTTATCCGGATTGGCCACGGCTTGGATTTGTCCTTTAAGTACAGCCTCTCTCTCGGCTGAGAAGGGTGTAAAGCCGTGCTGCGAAAGGCAGCTGTTCACTTCAGCGCACACCTTTTCACCGATGGTAGCCAGAGACTCCTTCAGGTTAAAGGACCTAGAAAACACGGAGTAGGGCATTACTTAGCTATTTTAGTTTCCTGCCTTTTAAAAATAAACTATCCTATCTAATGGAAGAAGTGTAATCCAGATAAAGCCAGAACTAATAATACAATAACAAAAAATAATACGTTTCACTTATATCTGAAAAACAAAGTTGAGATATAAAACAGCAGGATGTAGGACAGCATTAACACCTGACAGCCTCAACCATCGATACAAGTAAGCCCTGGCACTCTGCCTACACAGACAGCTTTGACTAATGCAAAAACCTGTTATCAACCCATCACGTGAACAGCCACAATTCTAAATCTGCAAGCGGCGGACAATACAGTGCTTGGATTCTTGAGGGCACCTGGCCCAAACTGTGAGCATGGTTTGCTGCTTGCGCTCTCACGAGAGCGCCAACCAGGCAGCATGAAAATACATTCTGAGAAAAGGAGCATGTACGTATCGAAAACAGCAGAGCAAGAGAAGACAGTTCTGAGTAAGCTGAATAAAAATTGTCAGCCTGGGCTCATGAAGAGCCCTCGTCACTGGCTCGACATCGTCCACAGCCCACAGCCAGGGCAAGGCTTAAACTGATGCTGTGTCAGGGTGAGCACAGACCCTGCGCCTGCCTCTGTGTCACCTGGACGGTTCCATACTCACGGCAGATGCATTCCTGTCAGCAGCACCTTCACCATGGTTTTGATTTTCTCAGCAAATCCAGGCATATCCACAAGTGCTGAGCCTGCTGCACTGAATGTGACCAGAAGGATTGTCCCGATCAAGAGGAGTTGCTCCAGCTCCAGCTGTATTTCCTGAAAGCGGGTCTGGTCCATCAGCACTGTCTGTAAAGAATGGGGGAGCCAGCACAGAGTCGAGTCAGTGCGCTGGGCTGTGAAGTGACTGTGATGCCGACCTACACACAGCAGTGAAGTTAACACAAAGACGCAGAAAAGAGCAACACATGCCCAGCAGGTGAGTGTCAGGAACAAAATGCAAAGAATAAGCTCTTTTGCAAAGAAGTTTCAATACAGAAAAAGAAGTACCAAAGACCCACAAGAGCTCTCACTCACGAGACGAATGTTTTAGTATTGTGCTTGCTGCAAAGCCAAACAGCCTCTGTTATATCACAGAAACAGAGAAAGTAGAACAAGCAGAGAAATCAATTTTTCTGTTAAAATACCTACTTCTGGGAAAGGCCTGTTGGCATGATCCCACTTTAGGAGCTTCAGATAGGCCTGGTTTTGTACAGCAGTAGAGCACAAGGGGGAAGCTCCACCAGTGGCACCATCGCTACTACAGTGGGGAGGCAACATCTTACACCTCAGCTTCGCAAGATCGTCTGCTGCTTCTTGCAACCACCTTGTGACAAGGTCTAAAGAATCTGGAAGAGCAGGGAGAAAAAAATCTTAAGAAAAATTCCTTTTCAACATTAGGTTTTTCCATCAATAATTTCCACGTAATCCCATTAGTTACTATTACCCATGATATCAGTTATTGGCATGCATTTCATTGATTGCATTAAGCAGAACATGGAAAACAAAACTAAAACCACACAGCTACAGGAAGTTGGAGGTGAGACGATGCTAGGTAATTATGCCCTACACTAGTGAAATGAAACTAAACGCCAGTGTACTAAGTGCAGAACTGTTGTTCTGGCAGATTTTTTCAAACCACAGTTTCGGGGCACAAGCTGTCATTTACCATATGAATTCTAGAGCTTAAAAAAAAAAATGATCTGATTTCTTTTCACGATCTACAAGCAAAGACACGCAGTTTACTGGGAGGTCAGAGGGGAAGAAAGAAAGGAACAAAGTCATACTTGGCTGTTTCTCAAGAAACTCCTGAAACTTCTTTCTTTCATATTCAGCAGACTGCTGCATTAATTTTGGCCTAATACTACTGACAGCGAAGTTTGCCATATCCATTTTCATTAGGTCTAATACAGAGAAAATTGCTCTAAACAAACAAACAGAAAAAGTTATTCAAGGCTGCAGCTGTTTAAGAGGTACTATTTACAAGATTTATTACAGATTGTCTATGGAAAGAGCGAAAACATGCATGGGAAACATTAACAGGGTGTTTAACGATTTAAGAGCCTGACAGACAGAAAGCTTGAGCAAGCATATACATGCATGCATGTGCCTTTTCCAAGTGGGAAATAAATCTTGCTCTCCTGTAAAAAAGCCCCCGTGGAATTCACTTTACGAGCTCCATAGATTATATTTGCCAAGATGTGCAATACTGAATATTGAATGTGTATACTGAAATGTGAAAACACATATATTGAATACATAAAAAGACATCTGGGTTTCCAAGCTTGCATACGAGCGCTGTTGGTAGCCTCTGAGGCCAACCTCGGTGGGAAGTGAACAATCAGATCCATGGGGAGAAAAATAGAAGAAGAAAACAACCACCACCAAAATATGCCAAAGAAAACCACCTTAACTTTAAAGCAACCTAATTCCGGCTGGCAATACTTCTGCCTATCCAATCCTGAACTCGTGGAACCTTTTCAAATTAGAAAACAACAAGGTTAATGGTATTCTTCTAACTGTTGGGAGCTTGAGCTGTTCAGCTGAGAGCACAGTGACACAGCAGAAGCCGCTTGCTCCCCGGTGGGGGGGTACCCTCCCTTTGGAACTCAAAGGCTGTTACACAGGGGGTGGGGCGAGAGGGTAAAGAGAGCTCAGACTGGGGGGAAAGGATGAACAGTGTGGAGAACAGTAATACCTTTTCCCTATGGCCCTGCTTGCTTTTCTATGCATTCCGCTGTCAGTCAGTTCTGATAGAAACTGATCATTCACCTGCCACCTTAAGGCTTCTTCAGTCCTTCAGTGACAGGCAGGAGCCAGGCAGATACTCCACCAGCACAAAGATGGTCCTTGTTAAAGACTTCTGGAGCACCTCTCCCCTTCACACCCACATCTATATCCCTTCCCCTACCACTCTTTTTTTCACCAAGATTTGCAGGCTGTCCTGCTGGAAACCACCACCACACCACACCCCCCATCTAAAATTATTTAAGGGACTTTGCAACATGACTAATAAATACCATTTCAGTACCTGAACAGAGGAACTATTTCATGAATATCTCTCAGTTTCTTGATTTCTTCATCTCGAGCTGGAGCACAGAGAGTCCCCATCATCCCAATAACAAATTCAACCAGTTTAGAAATGTCAAGAGCCCCATTCTCTGCCTCCTGTTTTATCAAATCCAGATCAAGAACTTCTGTGATCTGGCTTCTCAGTCTAGTATGACCAGGCAGTAAGAAAGACAGGAGATTCTGAAACAGAAAAGTTTTTAACAGCGTATTAGTTCTACATAGCAAAAGCTACAAGGACCAAACCAGTTATTGACCCACTTTTATTGCCCTTTAACACCTCATTCTGTACGATACTGAAGTTACTAAGTGGTAAATACTCTGTAGCACAGATCGTGCTTAAGACTATGGGCTCAGTTTTGCCAGCCCCACAGTGTTGGGGCATCTCGTTGATTCCCTAACTAATACCACTGCCACAACATGAAAGAAGCTTGGAATTATGAAACTAATTACTTGTAATCATCTTACTAGTATTAACTTTTAATCATCTTACATGGTTTTGCATTTGTTTTTCCATTCAATTTTCTCCTCTGGGGATAGACAGTGGGTTCACAGACAATGATACAGTAATGAAAAAGATCAAGAGAGCTATTTATGAAAAGCCAAACTTCAATCACTTTTGGTAATTCATATCAATGCAGAGACTCAAATTCAATAATTTACCTTGATATCACTCCATCTTACCTCTTTAATTTCTCCCAGTAGTTTAATTGCATGGTCATATGTTGGTGGATCTTCCTTTAGCTGAGCTTCCAGACAATCCCAGAAAGCTTTATGCACAATATCTCTCACTTTTTTTTCTAAGCTGTGGATAAGTATGACCAGTTAAAAAGAATGATACTTGTCTCTGCACCACCTTACAAAGACAATCTGCAGTTCCTGCATGTAATAATATTAATATAATGTAATCATGAATATATGATGATTAACAGAGAACAGATCTGTCATTTTAAGTTGCTCAGAAAATCAAGAAAAACTGGACACGGGATTTGGAGTAGCTTAAACCCTAATAACAGGTTACACACAAGCAAAGGCAGCTACAAATTAAAATCTTTGAAAGTATATCACTTGCTACCTCTAAACTAAACAACTGGAAGGCAAAAAAAAAAAAAAAGAAATCCCAAAAATTACAGCTTGTCTTCAGAAGATGAGCATTCATGTTCCTTTCAAAAGCCTCACTAATCAAATGCAATTCTATTAAGTAAAATCCATTAAGTAAAACTAACAGAAATGAAGTAACTTCCGTAACACAAAAGCTTCTGCATTTCAGTACTAATTCCCAATTCAAAATACTGGAAGTTACTCCTCTTCAGCAGGCAGGCTCCTGCTCACACCAGGTTTAACTCCAACGCTGAAGAAGCGAAAAGCTCAGCCGTACACGCACGCCCACAACAAAGAGCAGGTTCCCGAGGCTCCTCCGGTTCCACGCGCAGCCCAGGGGCACTGACACCCCGCGGCCCTCCAAGAGCAGCCAGCGTGTGCTCTGCCGGCAGCAGACACGGCCCAAACACAGCCACGGCTGCCTCTTCCTCCAACCACTTCTCCACAGCAGCTCAGGCTGCAGGGGATTCTAAGCCCGAGACACACAAAAAACCCCATTTAATCTGAGGAAGACTCCAGGGTCCCTCTTCAAGCAAAATCTGAAATGACCACTTGTTCTTTTCTAGGTGGTAAATAGCTGTACACAAACGCCTCACAAAAGCCAAATACAGGGATCTCGTGCCAGTGCAGGCCTGGCCCACGGCAAAGCCCAGGCCCTCCTGAGCCAGGTGACCTCTCCAGCACACTCGCTTCTGTGATCAGGTGAAGAGACGCAAATCTGCCTCCCTGGTGAGCAACCACAGCCACCGCTCTGCAGCAGTGAGCAAAACCAACCAGCTTTCCAAAGTACAGCACAGGTCCCCAGCTCCTTCCCTTCTTTTTAATTTTTTTTTAAGAAATGGGGAAAGAAGAAAGTATGGAAAAAAGAAAACATGCTAAAATCCTTCTTCCCCGTAAAATGCTGAGAATTTTATGGCACTGAGACATACCGGGAAAGTTATCCACTATCACAGTGCTGCAGTTCTACAAATGCAAATCTTATTTATGTATCTATCTGGGAAGAATCTTACCTGTGTTCTGGTAATTCTGCTGGTTTTATCTGGAAGTCTCCATTAACAACAATTTCGTGTGCTAACGCCATGTTGGTCACTCCCTTAGCTGTTTCCATGAGCTCTTCTATTGACACAGGCCGAGGAGGACTAGCTGCAACAGAAATTCAGCTGTCAGACAGCACGTCTGAAAGTCTGTGGGAAAAAGTCTGCTAATGCTTTTGGATTCTTTCCACACTCAGGACAATGAAGACGGCCAAAAGATTCTCAGTTTCCTTCCCTTCCTTTCCTAGCTGGTGGATGACAGAGGTTTAGAATATTACAGAAAACAAAAGAGTGAACCCCAGTTGATACTCTGGACTCAGAATGTCAATGGCTTCCAGTATTTTCACTGCACTATTTTCCCAATTATCGTGCAGATGTTGCCATTCCAATTCTGTATTTTTCCAGGAAGTGACTTCATGTAAGGCAGTCAGCAAACAAACCACCATTCACATTAAGCAATAACACACCAGTAGCTAATTATTCTCACTGCTTCCAGTGCAACTGAGACTTCTCCAAAGTCTGGTTTTTTTGCTGAGAGGCCATCGTCCAGCAACAAAGGATGTCCTGGGATCTAGTCTCAGCACCAGTGCCTAAGACCTCTGTATCTGCGACTGACAAGGATGAGCAAGTGGCTTCAAACTGGGCCCTGGAGCATATAAGCAAGTAGAAGAAATTGCCAAACCTGGAAAAACAGGCCCATTTTCATTAGGCAGGAGACAAAGGTAGTGACTGACCGTCACTGATAACCCTAAAAACACATCAACGAAAGGCACAGAAGGTGCCAAGCACGCAGGCCATGCTGGTTAGGGGAGTAAGCCCATCCCCACTGAAGCCAACTGAAACCTGCTGCCACCGATTCTTTGTAAAGATTTCTCCTAGCTGTGCTAGCATCAGTGTGTGTGAGTGCCCCACAATGCCTTGCCAAAAGTTAGGAGAAGCACCACAGCTCCTCCACGGTCCAGGTATTTGAGGAAAAGGAGAAGGCAGGATCGTTAGTGTCCTCAGGTCATGCAGGCAAGAATGTCAAGGTTCATCTTGGCTCTTCCAGAAACCATCTAGTGAAGCAGAAGGTGGCAGGGGAAAGAGCCACAACAGAATTGCTCTAATGCATCGGTTCCTCTCTGTAATTTGTCTGCTTCAACTACAGAAGCAACATACTAATTCCCAAAATTAAAGAAACCGACCAGGGACCTTTGTAGGCCGGATTCACTGAGACGGGTTCTATGCAAACTACAACATCTGCCTCATTTGACTATCCAGTGTGATTGGACTTAAGCTAGTAACAAAGAAAAAGTTCTTTCAAAGTAACTGTCCATCACTTGTTGCCATTCTGAGCTGTTCCAGGTATATACTGTCTGGCTCCATTATGCTAATTTTTCCTTAACATCTTGCTCTTCCCATGCAGCACTTTTAAACGCTTATTTCCTTCTGCTTCGAGCTCTGTCTTGCACTCTGGGAACACAGCAAGGATTGAGATTCTGAGAAGAACTAGCAGGACAACAAAGTTCACAGCTGAATGAGAGTGCTCTTGTGCAACTGCCAAATGACTTCACTCTAGCAGTGGATGCGCTAAAAGCTGAGACTCTTTCATTTACCAAAGAACGCTCTTAAATCATGTTACATCATGTTATATCTTCTCCCTTACAACAGGGGAGGGCTAGAGATCAACAACTTCTTTGTGGCACAGTGCAGTGCGAGACTGTGCTACGCATTTTACTTTCACATCCTCCTCGCCTCTTGCGTTTCCTACCAGACAACCAGCAAGCCCTAAGGGCATAAACTCCCTCAGAACATCTCCTCTGGGTAACACGACACTGAACACAGCACTAAACCCCAAGTAATAATGAACACTATTAAAAATCAAAAAGAACGCAACAAATAAAATGTTACATGCTGAGACACTCTACAGAAATTTGGAACTAGTTATCTGAGCAATTCTGCCTCTTGGACTTGAAACCCTGGGACCAGAAAATTTCTCCTTCATTTTACCTGTTGATTTGCCAGAAATAATTGGTAGCTACACGGCATCCAGCTCCTCATGTTAAGAGCAGAATGACAAAAATATGCCCTAGGAATAAACTTAAAATCTGCAGTCCTGCTTGACACCAGAAGTAGTATTAGGATCAAGCACACAACTTCCCCTCTGCACCGGGAGGGGATGACAGGACATGACTTGGTTGGTAACAGCCTTCCTCGCCCTGCAATGGAAACAGAGGCTGCAACAATCCAGAAGGTTCGGCTGATAACACAAACAGCAGCAACTGTTTAGCTAGAACGTTCTGGAGCAGTGCTTGGCCTTTCCACAGACCTGCAAAGGTATTTAAGATATGAGTGGCTCAGAGCAACACGGTTGTCGTGTACAATTAAGTACTAAAACAAAACGAGGAGGAAGGTGTCACAAACAAGTTTCAAAGCAAATGGTCAGGAGTCATGCAATATTTAATGGCAAAACAAATTTGCACAGAATGCTATAAAACACTAGGACTGTCTTCATCAAAGTTACTGATTTGACTTTATTTTTTTTAATTTATATAAAGCAGTTTTTCTTACACTTTGGTGTATCATCTCTGTGTGTCCCTGGAGCACTCTGCCGTATTCTTTTTCTGATAGACTGATCTGGATTGTCCAACCTCTCTTCTTGATCACTCTCCAAACCACTCAACTTTTCTTCCTTTGAATGTGGCTTGTCAGGATTCTCAGACATTTTCAGTTGGTTCTTTTCAAAAATAGAAAAAAAAAGAGGAAAAAGGGAATGAATAAGCGTTTTGTGACACGGCTGAGTGCGTAAATGTCACCAGGAGTTCTCTTGATTAGAAAAAATTAAGAAGGAAAGAATTCTTATGAGGAATTATATATGATGTCATTCTCCCAACGGCAGGAGACCTGGACTCAATGACTCATTTGCCATCTTAAAAAACCAAGCTGCTGTCAGCACAGCTACCACTTACTTAATCTGCATTCCTAGTAACTTCTCAGAAATCTGAAACTGTTCCCTTGCCATAATGTTTTCTTTCTTAGCATTATGTGCGAAAGCAGTGAAAACCACCTTGAGAGTTGTGTTACAAACATGTTTTACATAAAGATCATGCCAAACATTTCCCCCCTGAATAACAATAAATCTTCCTGAAAATAACGTAAGCCTGAACTATGATCTGCCCCAGCTGCTCAGAACTTAAGACATTTTTACTCTAAGCCATCCAAAAGCATAAAGAAGCAGGGAAAGGACTAGAGATAAATTAATACAAAATTCCACTCCCATATTTTAATTCCATGCAAGAGTCATGATTTATGCATAAAATATCAGGATTATTTCTTTAGAAAACCCCACACATTAAGACAGTAAAGAACATAGTTTTAGTATTTTAAATTTAAAAATGTAATTTGCACATCTTAGCATTGAAAACTCTCTATCACACAGGAAGCTACTGTTCAGACCTCAATTTTACAAAATCTATTAGAGAGCACATGATGTTTCCAATTCAATTAAATAGCCTGGATGTTCTGTGAAGTGGGAAGACAGGAAGATTCCACAAACAGCAGCTCCTCCTCTTTTACCCAGTATCCCACCATCCCCACTTCCAAAATTTGAAAGAAACAAGCTCTCAGCAAGAGATACAGCTTCCAGAGGCACCTTGTAGCTACCAGGGAAAAACACCTGCAGGGTCAAAGACTACATGGAAGAGGACGCAGCATAAGCAAGCAACAGTGTAGTCATATAAAATGCAGCACCGACATCTTTTTATTTTCATACAACAGCTGTAATAATTAAACCTAATCCATTAGTGCCTAAATTGATTGCATCAACATGATTCTACAGGACAGCTGGAAAGCTCAGGGCATATAAGAAACGGTTTTGTTCTACAGCCATGACTCAGGACCATCACCTAGCTACATGCACAAGACACACAAGAACATGCAACACTTGTCCACAAGCACTGTGTGACTTCTATCTTAGGAAAGAAAACAAAGCATATAAATCACGGGATAAATTACGTAGGAAAACCAAGACATCAGTACAGGTATTAGCCTCCACCTCTAGCTGGAACAGAGTCACTGATGTCCCTCCTCCAAACACTTCATCATCTCCTCCTTCACGCACACAGACAATCCCAGCCGGGACAGGAGGGCATCAGTCTGTGCAGAGCTGCAGCCACATCCTCAGCCCTTCAACTCAGGCAGAGAGAGCCTCCAGCTGGGTGTAACGCAAGGCAGCCGAAGCAGCATGCAGGTGGGAAACCAGTGGGAAACCACTGCCGGGAGACCAGCGACATGCTCCGGCAGAAATGGATCTCTAGTCTAGTGGACTAAAGGTCTGTTGCTGCAAACACTCTGGCAGCAAGACGAGTTCTGTTAATAAAGGAGCATTTAGCAGAGATCATAGCAACAGTTAAAATAGAAGATAGAGCCAGTTAAGCAGAAGAGGGAAACGTGTTGTTGAATTTGGCTAGAATAAAAGCATTATCGTAAAGGCTTCCACATTCAAGCAGCCAAGCTAGACAGGGCTTCCTGTTCATTCTCTTCTGCAACACATCCTCCTGAAGAAAAAATGCAAAGCACAGACAATGCAACTAAGATCCACATAGATCTTTACTGCACATGACAGTGCCTTGCAAATTCTCACTGCACTTTATCCTCATTACCCTTAGAAAACTAGAGAAATGTTATAATATACCTTACTTACAGAGAGGAAATAGAAGTGTGAGTTAAATTGCTTGAGGACTCACCGATGATAAATGACAGGGCCAAGATGCCAATCAGTCTCATGATTACCACTCCCAGCTTTGCCCACCAGGCCATCATTCCTGCCATGCAGCTCCATCCTAAAGTATCACCTTCCACAAACCAGCAGATCAAGAGCTACAGTCTCAAACCTAGCAAGTTCATTTAATTACCATTTATTTTTAAAAGTCCTATTTTAGCTGTGCAAAGCGCATACAAGAACTCCTAGGTCATTCTACCAAATGACTGTTTGGCAGACGAGGCCAAGTGGCACACTTGTTGGCTCAGTTTGCAGCCATCTACTCTTTTCTGCTGGAACACATCTAGAACATATCCTCTTTCCACTGGGTAAATAAGCTTGACAATACCTCTTCCAAAAGCGTGATCATCATCTTTTGTTTCACAGAAACAATTCTGACTCAGCAGAGGTCCCCAAATCATCTGACACGCGTTAGCATTAAACAAACTTCACTGCGCTTCTCTGCACAAGATTGAAGCAGTTCCTCCTAACCTGCAGTGTGGCCCCGCTGCTCCTTATGTGCTAACACTCGACAGCTCTCTTCACCTCCAGCTCAGGTCAGACACACAAGCCCTGAAGGACACCTTTCTCCCAGCTTTGTTCCGAGATTCACCTCTCCCCTTCCCTCTCTTCACCGCACCACGGCCCGCCTGCCCGAGGCGAGCGACACCACCTGTGCTCTGCCTGCCCCTCTTCCCAGTTCAGAGGGATGCTTGGGAACTTCTAACACCTTCCCTATCTCCAGCCTGGTCTATGTCAGGCCCTGAAGGGGTCAGTCCATCAGCTGGGTGTCCCAGCGAGAACACCGGG